TCTGAATCCCAATTGTAATATTCCGCGAAGACCATTTACTTCTGTGGTAGTAATGCTCACAGTTCTTCACATTTCTAGTTATTATAGAGTGGGTACCAAAGTATTGGTTTCTCATTATGATCCTTCAATATTCGATACGATATTTTTGTATAAAAATGTTCCCTTACCTACTGTACTTGTCCAAGTTGTCACAACTTTCAAGACAAGTAACTTCCTAAGTAGTTAACGGATTTACTCCATTCCACTTCCCAGACTTAACTGAAGCTCTCCACTCATATGAACTGTGAACAGGACCTTGTCAGACAAATGGAGGTGATGTATATAGTGTTATTCTTACATTTTCAATTCTGTAGACCTTTAGTTACAGAATGTAACTGATACAAATCTGTATAATAACGTGAGAGTACCGCAAGTTGGCCAAAGGGTAGTGTTGGAGACCAGGAATTCCGATTTTGAGGTAGGTTACCCTACTTAGAGCAGTTCCTAGGTATTGGATCCTGGTATATGATAATACACATGAGAATCCTAGTAGTAGGGTGTTGAGTAATAGCCCTGCTAGTGTGGCAGTGGCAGAGGTCAGACTGTGCATGGATGAGCATAAGGGCAGAACCTAAAATATTTCCTCTTTGGGAACCTACAGTAGTGGTGGGAGGAGTGTTCTCCTATATATAAAGGAAGTAGCTAGTTACCTTCTAGATAAAGTAATACACATCTACATCCTCATCTAAAGATCACACCTCCATGGAACAAAGTAGTCATACTACCTCCATCAGTATACCTAGTACAATGAAAGCAATAGACCTCATGGAGTGTTACAACTAGATTAAAAAACTTGTCATAGATGTGGGAATTATCACCAACACCAAGCAACAACCAAACCCCTACTACCTAGGATAACTGGGAGTTTCTGACAGCACAATTTGGCAAGAATCAGGTAGAATTGTATCCTACGAATTAGTAGGATGTTTTCCAAAACCAATTCATATCTTGGATTATGAGTTATTAAGATTCGAAGTCAGCGACCTACTAATGTTTCAAATACAACTGCTCCTGTCAACACAGACTCCAGATGTAACTGATTATTTGATCAATAGGAAAGATAATTGGGGCCAATATGGTTCAACTTAGAAATTATGCTATAAGTCTGAAAACTCTGACGATTGGTTAATTACTATTAGAAACAATGAAGCTTTCTATGAAATAAAATAGTAATTATCAAAGTGGGTGTGATTGTTTACAGGGTCTCTAACTGTTAGCACTATTGAAAAATACTCAACCTTGTGTTGTATAATCGGAGAGGTATGTAATTTGCATTAGAGATACTAGTACTCGGTGAATACTCAAGTGCCGGATATCAATATTGAAGTGCCCCCAAAGATTTTAGACATCATCAAGCAACAGAGAACAGACCTTGACAATATAATAATATTTACATAATTATATTCTACCTTACTGTACTCTTAATAGTTATAACAAAAGAAGTAACTTTTGAGTCTTCCTAGATAAAGCTCCCTTTATTGAAACAAATATTAATTGGCCTAGACAACTCTGAGTCTACACATCTTGTTTCTGCCTAACATGCAACCTGTATCTCATGTGTGTACCTCCAAGTTCATTCAATCAACTTTGGAAGACCTTAGCTTATTCTTAGTTGACTTTATTTCCCACTCCAGTAGCCTAGGCCTGATATATATCATGCAACATGCACACCATATCCTTAGGCTATCCTAGTGCTCCTTATATATCCTGCATAGAGTCTCCAGTTAATTGGCTGTCTGAGTGTATCAGTGTTACAGTAGTATCTTCACTCATGGACTTTTACAAGCCAGACAGCAACTCTCCACACTGTGGCCCTTGATGCTAGAGATTTATAAGAGGGTTGGGGGTGGAGTGGTACTAGCCACCAAATCTTGTGATTACAGCTTGTTGAGAACTCAATTGCTAATACTGGAATAATACACACAATCTGAAATTTAGAGAGCTAATTTAACGTGTTCGCTAGGTGCTTATCATGTTATCGGTAATGAATATGATAGTTGGCAGGTGGCCTGCTCTTCCGGAGAGGAGGCGAGAGCTGAGAACTAAAGGAGGCTTCAAGAGTATACTGAGGAACAAAGAAGTAACCGTTCAACCAAGTATATTGAAATACTGTCTGTCGAAGTCTGCCTTTTCTATCGTAGAAACAGGCGGTCTTTAAATACACAAATCTGTTCATGTCTAGCATGAACGAAGCTAATCAAAGATATCAATCAATACACTTTGGTGAAACTAAATAAGTATCAAAGCGATACTTAAAACAAAACATAAAACAAAACCAAGTATCAAACGATATTTAAAACAAACCAAGTATCAAAGCGATAATTAAAACAAAACATAAAACAAAACCAATAACTAAGTATCCGTACCGGTTACAGCCAATATAGTTTCAGATGACAAACAATTTAGTAACTTTCCCTGAAATTCTGCATATGAAATTACTTTCAAGGTATGGTAACCTGGCTCCTAGTCCAGTAAGCTGTGACCAGGACATGGTAAAGCTAGTCCAAATGTCGGATAACAGCATCCTAAGTTACAATATAAAGTGGAGTAACTCCACTCCAATACACTAGTGTATAAATCAGGGTAACTCTCATATTGACTACTTCACTAATCCTGCTCACTAGGATAACTACCTTTGATTGCTTGTAACTATGTACTCCAAGTAAGATGAAAGATATCCAGTTAAGATACCTAATTATATGTTAGGAATACCAGGATCCAATACCTAGGAATCATCCTAAGTAAGCTAACCCCACCCGTGATTAGAATTCCTGGTCTCCAATACCCCCCTGCTGCCCCCTTACAGGCCCACACATCATTATACATATCAGTCTCAGTTTTGTCCTGTGACTATAATGCCACTGAATTGAATAGATCAGAATAATACCATGTACATTGCCACCATCTGGCCGACTAGATCCTGTTCGCAGCATATATTAGCAGGTCCTTCTGCTAAATGTGGAACATGGAACGGAGTAAACTTGTCAACTATGTACAAGGTTACTAGTCTTCAAACATGTAACAACTGTGGTACAGGCTGTAGGTAATGGGACATTTTGCACGAAGTGATAGTATTGAATGATAAAGGATATCAATGAGAAGCCAATTCATTGGCGTCTACCGTACAGTAATGAGAAAAGTTTAGAACTCCCAGGGACACCACCATAGAAGCCAATGGACTTTACAAAGTGTTGCAACTAGGTTTTGGAATACAAAGCTATTGAGATGATTCCCAATACTACAATAGTGATTGAAATCCTGTTAACCAGAGTAATCAAAAGTTGCTAACGGAGGGATTATTTGTCAATCAGGTGGAATAGCTTCCTGCAAATTAGTAGAAAGTCCTCCAGAAAATATATATAGGCTGAATAAGGAGTTATGAAGGTTTGAAGTTAGGTGACCTAGAACAGTTACAAGTACGACTATTTTTGCAGATGTAACCCGCAGATGAAACTGATCATTTCAATAATGACGGAGACAATTGGGGCCAACTCAGTTCAACTTGAAAACCAGGCCATAAATCTAAAGACTCTAATAATTAGATAACTACTATTAGGAACAGTATGGTACCTAGTTAGTTATATTGTAATTGCCAAAGAGAGTGTGGTGATTTTCATGGTCTCCAGGGGCTCTCATCCTTTAATAATACCCAACATTGCAAGTTTTAATCAGAGAGCTACATAAGTTGTATAATAAATAGATGTAGTCTGCGAATACTCAGACGTAGAATACAAATACCGAAGTGCCTTACAATCTTTAGACATCATCAAGCAACAGAGAAGAGACCTTAACAATATAATATCGTCTTTAGAATTCAATTCTACTTTACCTATTTTACTTCCCTCTCAGTTGTCATAAACGAAATGAGCAATGTCCGCACCTTCCTAGACAATCTCCGTCTACAGAAATGAACTTTGGTTGGCCTAGAACTCTAAAGTTTATCAGGTTATCTCCACCTAACACTATAGTTATCTTTCTTTAATAAACTCTAGTCTACCACCATTCCTATCATGGTAGTCTCTTGACACTAGAATATGTGTAGGTTTAGCCTTCCGTAACCGCTTTCATTCATGAACATTGTTATCAGGGATGAGGTGGACCCCATAGTTTCATGGTGTTGAAAGCCAATTGTGAGGAAAATAGAAGCCATGTAACATCTCATCTTATTATTGTATCTGATTATATTATTTATATGCTCTTCAAACTTATGTTATAAAACCAGCTACTAATTTGATTACAATCCCATTCCCCTTAACCTATTTTCACATGAAATAATTGTAACCTCAAAAGAGTGACTTCGCAATTAAATCTACATGGTGACATGTAACACCGGCTGCACAGCCAGGTCCCCTTTTTAACTGGCAGTATGGCATATTTGTATGAGACAATTGCTCCGTTCCCGAGCCGTCACCATCAAGATTTTCCTACCGTAACGATTACACGTTATAAGTTTGCCAAATGCACGTTCCGTTCAGAACTCTGTAAATGGAAGGGAAGCTGTCACGGAATGGAGGAACCGAGCAGAACGGTCGCGTCCAAATTGAGTCTTAAATATCCCAGGGGCTGAGAAAACAACTTGACTCATTAATTTGGCTTCTCAGACCCTAAGCTCGCTAAGGTGTTGCCGAAAACGCCCAAAATAAAACAAAATAGAAAGCTTCAGAAATTCGGAAAAGTCTCCCACCCCATCTCAGACTACCCATTCATGCCGGTAGCGTATCGCTTGATCAAACTTCACCTGTGCGGGAGGGAACAAATAGTGAAAAAGAGAGAGAGAAAGAGAAAGAAGGAAAGAAAGTAGTGTGCACCTTTTATACTTATAATAACATAACCATTCATAGTCAAGCAAGCTATCAGAAACACCAATAAAAAAGAAAAAGGGAAAAACACAAAATTCCCACCGTAATCCCGTTAACAACCCATACAGCATGCCATCATAAAGAAGCATACAAAGGGTTAAATCAACCAAGGAGAAGATCGTTATTAGCCCTACTCCAAATGTGGACAGGCCAAACACAACCCACGAGGTGGGGAATCCCAGCACCCGTCATCCGCCAGAGTGAATCCAATGCATTAATGAAGTCCAGGACCTCCAACACAGACGGGCAGTGACTTGCTTTCACAGGATGCCGCGAGAACCTCTCTAGTTCGTAGTGTGTACCTGAGAAGTAGCGGGACACAAGCTGTCTATGGGTTGATCTAGGTATGAACTCCGCGAAAACAGTAATGTAGTGCTTGAGCATGAAGCTCTCAAGATCGTAGAGACTGCGGATCTGGTCTTCGGGATGGATCTTGAGATAGCCGGCTGCGTCGCCAAAGCAGTCGAGAACGTGATGTTTTATGGCTGCCATAAAGCTTGAGAGCGCGTCGGCCTGGATCTCGAGTAATAGTATAGAAAGGTTCTTGGTTGAAACGACTGCTGAGGCTGTTGGTATGGCGGAATGTGCATAGCTTCCAGCACGGTTCGCAATTCTGGTTTCCCTGCCCCGAGGAGCGTGGATCGACTCAGCCATTCCATTTCCCACCACACCCTGCCAGGCTCTAACAGGTTCAGGAGACGAACCGAGCGACCGGCCTGAGAAGGTCTTTTTACTGGCATATGGTCGAGTGGGCATCGGTGGGATATAGCGACCCTGGATCAGATTTGGTGGTAGAAAATGTGGCATGGCTTTCGGCTCAGCGCCTTGGGCGTCCCTGGAATCAACCTTTCGCTCCGTCCCTGGTACAATTCTCGACCCAACCCAGTCCCCAGGCCTTTGTTGAACCTTGGGTCCAGTAGGTTGAGCCAAAAACCCTCTGGGTTTCGGGAGATGGCGGGGTCTTCGAGATCTCCCATAAATCTTCTTCAATAGGGAATGGCAAGTCTGCCCTTTCTCGTACATAAACGCCTTAATTTCTATAAAAATTAGCACTTAATATTGGGCGCTACAGCCGAGCTTCCCCTTACTATAAATTATAGCGTTCACGCTGAGATTAAAATCATTAGTCAGGAGATAAGTATCATACCCTTGATCGTAGAAAAATCTGCCATAACTATCAGCCCAGATTTCATAGATCATGCTTTCTCATGCTAAATACCTAGCACAGTCCAAGATGGCCATGTCGCCGTGATTGAAAGTCCTGTTAATAACCTCTTCCCTTGTCTGCCCCCATATTCCTGGTTCCGGATTTGACAGGACCCGAAATGCCCAGCGATTTGCCGCACGTGCGAGCATAGATATATCAACCCGACGGCCGTCATTTCCAAAGCTAATACCGGTGATACCTCTGCTTGATTTCTTGAGCCCGTCTAGTTCTTGGATAGTGGCCCAGGGCAAAACTACGACACAGCCCCACTCCAAGTATGAAAGCACAAGATCGTTAACCAAGTTAAGATGAACCAGAATAAAACTTGTATCAATTACGAGGATATGGGTAGCATCGTCAACGCGCTGACCGGGCACTAGAACTTCTAGCTAAGTTTTTTTTAGCACATCCCGACGTTGGTTAATTCTGGGCAGAAATGGCGATTAACTTACCTGTCCCTGACCAATTTTCTCACTGGCACGGTCCTCGGCGATTACATGAGCAACTTCTCTGATGGCTTGCCATTCTTCGAGATCTGCCATAATCACATCTCCATCATCATCAAATTCCACATCGGCAAGGGCACATGAGTCTTGAGGAACGAGTTAAGAGGGTAGAGCACAATAATGCGCATCTGTAGCCTTCATGCCTGATAAATTCTTTGAGCTTGAGACTTCGGATGCAACAAAAGCAGCAAGCGATCTTTGATCTTTCGTTTGCTCCCCGGTTAGCGTTACAAAGCTGGCTTTTAATGCCCCATATTCGGCAAGTTTGCCGGCTCCGGCCGTCTCTTGAGCATGCATTTCTCTTAACCCAGTGGTAAGAATTGGATCTACAATAAACCCAGTCTCAGCTCCAGCAGGGCCACAGCTTTCCGAAGCGCTGCTAGCCCAGGGACCCCAGTGTGCATAGGTTACGGGACATTTTCCCCTGGCGGTCGCACTAGTTGGGGCCCATTTTGACTCGGCCAAGCCATTCTCTCCTTGTCTTAAGGACGCTATTCCACTAGGGAGAGTAGGGAGGCTGTTTGTGTCCATGAATGGCAGAGACCCCTCCGTGTTATCCCACCGCGAACCCATGTTAGATGGATCTGTCTCTACGTTTCCTAGATCAATCATTTCCTCTAGCCGATAAATGTCAGAGAGAGAGACGCAACACTACAGTGAGGGTATGAGAGCCAAACCTGAGAAATTGAAAATATCAGAAGTAAGATGAGGACGACAGTGATGTTGACGATGGTGGTGATATCGGTGACGGTAGTGGGGTATGTTGGGCTGCGGTGTCACGGTCAAATCTTCACAGGGGATGAAGTGGGATGAAAGGGGTTATGGAGCGAACAGGAAGGAATGTGGGTGGTGGTTCCAAAGGGCCGCGTGGATGAAAAGGGATAATATCCTTATGTTGTTAAAGAGTGTAGCAACAGAGAATGTTCCGCAGAATCCCCCAACGAGTGACGACGGATGATTACGTCTCGGTACTGCTGAGGAGTAGCAGCGCCAGGCAGCACGGTAACCCTAGCACCTCCCCGTCATCCTTAACTTGTCTGGCAACGTCTATCATACCAAAGACTAAAAGCCGGGTAACATTTTTTTGATTTCGCCCAATGTTCTGAGGTTTCAGCCCTGTGAGGACATAGACTAATTACGATCCACCCAACCATCCCTTCCTACCTGCCTCTCCTCATTCACCTCACGCCAACCCTCACAGATACATCACCGCTACGCCCTGATCTTTAGCACCTGCTTTACAACGTAATGGCCGATAATGCTGAAATGGACTTGGATGAGGTTCCCCCCGTCGGGGAGAATGAAGCAAGCTCCAAAGCTTCCTCTAATCCCAAGACAGCCGCAGGAGCCTTCGCCGTCCGCTCAATCGAAGGTTGGATTGTTCTTGTGACCAATGTCCACGAGGAAGCGAGCGAGGAGGATCTACAGGACCGATTCGGCGAATTTGGCGACATTCAAAATCTTCATCTTAACTTGGATCGAAGAACAGGCTACGTTAAAGTATGATTCCTACCCATGTGTTGACCTGGATTTATACGGTTCCTGAGTGATTGATGAAGGGGGATGTGGTTGCCAGGGATACGCTTTGATCGAATTCTCCACACTTTCCGAAGCTCGCGAAGCAATTGCCCGTACCAACAATACAAAGTTACTCGAACAGACTATATACTCGGATTTTGCGTTCGTTCGCCCACCACCCACTTCCCACAATAGCCGTGGAGGCGGAGGAAGTAGACGGGGCGGAGGCGGCCGGGGAGGACCCGGTCGCCCCAGGAGTAGGTCACCGGGTGCAAAGGATGAAGCGGCTGCTAGCAGGAGTTTGCAGGATAGAATTACCTCGTAATAAAAGTTTGTCTGGCTCCGAACATTTTATCCTTGAAGTGGGGGAAAAATAACCGAACTTCGGTTGAATCTGATGTCTGCGGTCCTTGTTGCGTTATTATTATTGTTATTATTTTTCTTACTATCTCTTATACCAAAACCGGCTGGAGTTGGTATGAACCCCAAGCTCTGTGACGGGGCTCGTATTAAATTCGTCATGGGAATGGGTGGAGATTCAGCCAGCATTCCCGCAGCTAAATAGTATTCGCACCATGTTGTATTATTAGCGACCGTCGGCAGTGGTTTTGTGGTTCGATTTTGTTTGGACCTGGGTAGCTTTAATTCCTGTGCTTTGCGAAGAGGATATGATTGCTGTCCCCCCTGAAATATTTCAGTGTCAACAGTCCAATGTTGCAAAGAAGGCATTCTGTGATCGAACCCGGGGGATTAGAAGGTGAGGGGGGTTCTATATCCTAGTAAGCAAAGATAACTGGAAATATCTGTTGCTCAGAAGCAGGGAAAGAGATGTAAATTACCCAAGAATCTACCAAAGGATATTTGTGGGATGTTTAGCAATTTTCAGCTTTTGTCATCTCTTATTTGTTTCTTTACCTTCAACTTGCTTCGAATGTCATTGTTTATTGTTTTGATAGAAGGGGTTCTATCTTAATTATAACCCCCCGGTTCGAGAAAGTGCGTTCCAGCTACACGAGTGAGAGTTGAAGGACACGGGGTCTCGGTACTCCGCGATTTTTTTTCGCAACATCGAACCTATTATACTATCCCTTGAACAGATGATACAGTCAAACTTGTTGCTGTGCTAATTGGAGCCAAGAAGTAGTGATGGTAACTTGAAAAAGAAATAATTTACTACAATAATTGCTCTCATATCAGGGTACCCAATTCCAAATGATAGTCTGAAAAACACTTAGGACACAAGCAATGAAGACAATAGGAACAAGAAGATAAAGACAATAATGTCTGTTTGACCTTCCTGCCTTCAGCCCATAATTGCATTTGAGATCATGCACATTCTTACTTTTTCTGATTTTTGACTCTTGTATGGCAGCCTGGAGGTTCTTGAAGAATCGGTAGAAGTGTCTTGACTCCATAAATCTTGCTGTAAATAACTGTATTAGTCTGCCTTAAATATCATCTGTGATGGCAATTAGTCTGCCTAGTATAGAGACAGAAAATATGTACTATGAGATTACAACAGGAGTCTTCGTGAATGTGTGGATGCAGTTGTACAAGCCCAAAAGTGATAAGATTATTTTCCTCCTCCTTATTGAATGAAAAATAAGAGAATAATTAACAACTGAAAGGTCAATAATCAAAAAAAAACAAACAAAAAAACAAAACAAAGAAACCAATTGCATCATGCAATCAACTGTGTAAAAAATTAACATTATTATTAACTAGCAATATCAATACCTCCTTTATGGGAATTGTAGTAATATATCATATATGAAACAGGAGTAGTCATGGTATTTGATCGCAAAATACAGGATATATCAGAGGTCTATTAGTACTAGTTAATCATGGATGCATCCTATTTTTTACCACTTGGCTCTTCATACTATAAAATCATACTATAATTTATAGTTAACATATAAACTTAGGCCCTGTTTGGCACGTCACTTTTATAGCATAAATTTTGGCATATTAAAGTTTTTATATAGGGGTATGTTCGGTAACTGACATTATATCACGATATATTTTTATTACATCTATAAATTTTTATTGTATGTATTTGTAGGGCTAGGTTTGAATCATGAAATATGATGCATGTTATGACAAATAAAATAAAGAGTAATATTACATTATTTGTAGCAAAGAGCTAATAGATTATACATCATTCTAATTTACATCATTCAACTATCAGTGGCTTTTTGTTATGAACAAACAACAATCGGAAAACTTTCTGCCTCAGAGTGGTCATGAGGACACTACCTTCGACTGTGATAAGAGCTGTTCAGACTGATTCTGATATGTCCGAAACGAATAAAGTGTGCTCCCACAAGCATATTAATTTACTTCAAGTTATTATGAACCTCGAGCAGTATGTCGATTATCAATTTGAAGCAGGAAGAGTCCGTACCTCCATTCTAATGGGCAGAGCCTACATTGCGGAACTATTATCAGCAACTACCTGTGAGAAGCGCTTTTATGAGGTTCTTCATATGTCAAAGCAGGTGTTTCTATATTTGTGCAGTTTGTTGGAACAGGGTGGCTACTTGAGAAGCACACGGCATGTTTTTGTAACTGAACAAGTAGCTATGTTTGTCTGGACAGTATCTCACAATTCATCTAACCGTCAGGTCCAAGAAAGATTTCAAAAAAGTGGACACAATATAAGCAGGTAAGGATATTTGACATCTTACTTATTACTTTAGCATTATACCATATTAGATAGTAATTGGATAGCTAAGGTGTCATTAATTAGATATTTCAACTGTGTCCTTTATAACCAAGTTGAATTAGCCAATGAGTTTATTATGCTCCCACCCAACGAAAGCCCGTATGAGGTTTAGTGCAATTCCAAGTTCTATCCAGACTTTCAGAATGCTCTTGGAGCCATGGATGGCATGCATATCACAGCTCATGTCCCGAATACCATGCTTCCCTGCTTTCGTATTCATAAGGGACAAGTATTGCAAAGTGTATTCACTGCCTGTACATTTATCATTTACTTTTGCTTCATTTTGTCGGGTTGGGAGGGCTCGACACATGATGGAAGAATTTTTAGAGATGCTCTAGCAAAGGGATTTGTGATTCCAGATGGAAAGTACTATCTGGGGGATGCCAGGTATGCTCTGAGTAATCATTGCCTCACCCCCTATCATGGGGTTAGATATCGTTTGCGTGAGCATTATCAGTTACGTAAAAGATAAGTTGGAATCATACCAGATTACTAGTGTACTACTTAATGAAATATAAGTACTAACTATATTTCAAATAATAATAGGCCAGCAAATAAAGAAGAGCTTTTTAATCTCAGACATTCTCAATTACGTAATGTAATTGAAAGATCCTTTGGAATCTTCAAGCGTCGGTTTTCTATCCTGCGAGGCCAACTTGAGTTCCCAATAGCTACACAAGCAAAACTTGTAGTCGTACTGGCTGGTCTTTATAACTTTATTCATAAGGAATCTCCTGAAGCAGAGCATTTTATGAATCAATTAAATGAACAAGGTTTGCATGCTAAATATTCCATTCATTCTGTAAAATATAAATATTCTTTCTGTAATACAAAGCTAACTATTAGACCATGAAGACCATACTCAAGAAGAACAGTAGGGGTCGAGTGATAGACTATATGAGGGAGAGAGTAACCATGGAGATACTGAGGATGAAAGTCAGGAGGAAGTAGCTGAGGAACAGGAACAGGCTTGCACAGGTATGTTGCATATCAGGGAGCAGATAGCCGATAAAATGTGGCAAGACTACCAGTTATATCTGGGAAGGCATGAGTTTCACTAAAGGGTCCATGTATGTAAAAAAAAAGTTCCTATTTCTAATCTAGTTATAGGATGAAAAAAAAAAATCAAACTTTAAAACTGGTAAAGCATGTATATCTACAAGTTATTCTATCAGTTTCCAATTTGACGCTTGATCCATACATCTCTAACTACTCCAGGTGATAATCCAATAAACATGCAGGCCTTTGCTTTGTCCTCAAAGAGAGAAACTGCCTTAACCATTTTATCTACAGACAGCTTATCCGAATAGCAGTCTTTGAGGGCATTGATTGCCCTTTCATACTTTGAAGGCATTCTGTGCTCCTACTGATATACCACTTCGTGCATTGCATGAGTAAGTGCTTTTACTGAGTGATGTTTGAGAAACCTTCGTAGGTCTCGGTTGCTTTCTAGTTGGCGGAGTGATACCCTGAGAAGAATCAAGTGCAGGATCTATGGAGTCAGATAAAGATCTCTGACTGCGAAGAGAATTCTGTTGTGAACTCGTAAGTGGAGAGCTATGCTCAATCACATTCTTCCAATTTCCCAGCTCACTCTGGGAATCAATGTCAAGAGCTCTTAACATAAACCTCCACAGAATGTGATTGGGAAATTCCAGTGGGTCTCCTGTGTTTCTCCTGACTACCTTCAGCTTGTTCAACTGAGATTGAATAGTAGCAGTACGAGCAAACATGCCAGTGGCTCGGACTCTAAGGAACAAGCTAGCTAGCTGGTCATATAAAGGAAAGCCTTTATATCTGCACTTTGTAGCCTCTTTATGACACTGTTAAATAATTCCGTATAATTAGTTTATGAGACTAGCATGCAAATATAAAGAGAAAAACCTACATCAAGATAAACTCTCCACACTTCAGCTGACGCAGTTGGCAAACCCTGGACAATATCCCATCCGAAGCCAGAATTTTGGCGGATCATATGAACAATATCAAACTTCTACTTAAGCTATATTGTTATCAGCTTATATATTTTCTATAAGAAAATTCAATACTCTGAGTAGAATTGATATTAACTTACTATAACCTTCTTACTTTTAGCTTGAGCAACTGTGAAAGGTTTAGTGCTAATTTCCTTATATGCTGCATTGAGTTCTGCAACAACACTGAGCCAAACAGACTTTTTAAATCCATTTTCTCCATGTTCACCATTCTCAACATGTCTCAGAAGAGCTTCAACCAAGAACCTTTGACTATCTTCAACCCAGACACTGTTTCCCATTTTTGTATCATCTATTTCTCCCAAAATCATCTGTTGGCTCATCTAAAGTCAGCATCCTATAGAGTACTAATGGTATGGGAATAAATAACTTGCTATGGGAAAAGGGCTGAATTAGCACAATAAAGAGCTGCAAGCAGCGGAATAAAGAGTTGAATGAATCGAAGTGGAATGTGAGATGTGGTTTGATGTGTAGTTGGATGTGTGGCTTAATGGATGGTGTTGTTGACTGGAAGATCTAGGAAGTAAATATTTAATTTTTATTCTCATTTTTTTGTATTTGCCCTAATGTTTATTTTATGACAACTATTTCAGGGATACCTATCATTGTAAATTGCTGCAGAACACCTATATATTTTTTCAACACAGAATTCTTTTATTAGCATATATGCTATTTTGAACTTTTATTGCAATATATTTTTATTGGTACGTGTCGAACAGGGTCTTAATT